GGGCGGTTGGACCCGTTTAAGATCACCGCTATCGGGAACACTACCCTCGATTCACCGGAATCCCGAAGAATCAAAGTATCGCTGAAGAGTCTCCACAGCAAAAGGGTGCCATTCAGAGCACGTACGGTTGCAAGCCTAAACTTGGGGCCACAGACTGTGCGTGCAGTAGACATAGCCAAGTGCAACCACTTGAAAGACATAAAGGAGCAGCTAATATATGACTCCGGCAACCCAAGGATCCTAATAGGACAGGACAATTGGAGACTTCTGATAGCCACTCAAATCCGAAGAGGTCCGCCGCACCAGCCAATTGCCTCGCTCACAGAATTAGGATGGGTGCTACACGGGGCACACACTAAAGCCCCGTATCAGCGCGTCCACGCGGCCAATGAGCTGCACAAGAGCGAGGTTAATATAGATGACCAACTCCGCGAATATTTCGCGCTGGAATCTCTCATTATCAATCCGAGAAGACCAGACTCCGACCCAGAGAAGAAAGCTGAAGATATACTAAATAGCAGCACCCGTCAGTTACAAGACGGGCACATAGAAACAGCGCTTCTCTGGAAGAAAAAGGATATCGAGATGCCTGGTAATTATGAAACAGCAATAAAACGGCTCGTTTCCATTGAAAGAAAATTAGATCGAGACGAAGATCTAAAAAGAAAGTATGATGAACAAATGAATTCCCTAGTACAAAAGGGATACGCTGAGATAGCACCGAAAACTAGCACACCGGGAAGAACATGGTACCTACCCCATTTCGACGTCCATAACCCAATGAAGCCAGAGAAGTTTCGAATAGTACACGATGCCGCAGCCAAAACAAAGGGGGTGTCATTGAACGACTTCCTGCTCACGGGCCCGGACCTACTGCAATCACTACCAGGGGTCATGATGCGTTTTCGCCGCCATAAAATTGCTGTCTCCGCGGACATAGCCGAAATGTTCATGCAGGTTAAAGTCAGACCTGAAGACAGAGATGCCTTAAGATATCTCTGGAGAGGGGATCAACGTAATGAAGCTCCACAGGAATATAGAATGACGTCGATCATTTTCGGTGCAGCCAGTTCACCCTGCACAGCCATATTCGCAAAGAACTGGAACGCTAAAAAACACAAAGACAAGTATCCAGAAGCTGTAGAAGCTATCATTCAAAACCACTATATGGATGACTATCTCGACAGTTTCCAGTCTCTGGAAGAGGCAATGCGAATATCAAAGGAAGTACGCGACATACACAAAAACGCGCATTTCACCTTAAGAAAATGGGTTTCCAACGCACCAGAAGTTGCAAAAGAATTAGAACCTGACCATGAAGCATCTGAGTCAGTCGATCTGGGAAACAAAGGAACCGAGGAAAAGATACTCGGATTAATATGGAAACCGGGTACCGATCAGCTGAGTTTCAACCTAAAGCTCGCTCGACTTCCAATCAATTTGCTGCATAAAACACCAACCAAGAGGGAACGTCTCATACGATGCGTGAAGACGGCACTATACACCGTCCTTCATGAGAGACATCCGCGCAGACCATTGACTCACATCTCTGTAAACAGCGACGACGATGAATCCATCACTCCAAATCACTTCCTTTTAGGAGGATCTGCGAGACTGCCGACACCTGGAGTATTTGATGAAAAAGATATGAATAGCCAAAGACACTGGCGACGCTCCCAGATACTCGCTGACATGTTCTGGCAGCGTTGGGTCCGAGAGTATTTACCGGAACTTCAAAACCGGCGGGAGGCCCATGGGCGAGGTCCCAATCTCCAGGTGGGCGATCCAGTCCTCATAGCTGACGGCCAGTTACCTCGTAACACCTGGCCACGAGGGAGGGTGGAAGCTGTTTACCCCGGTGCGGACGGACAGATCCGCACTGTGGAAGTACGCACAGCAAACGGCCTAATCAAGAGGCCAACCAGGAAACTCGTGCCGCTGCCGAAGTAGAAGCAACGTCGCTCACCGAAATGGATGCAGCGCCGCTGTGAGAAAATCGTCGCGACGCTGCACGGCGGGAGAAATGTTCGCGACGGCCTAACAACCTTAAGAAACGAAGTAATAAAGAATATTGTTTTATGTATTAATAGTGAAATACCAAGAAAACTGAGTGAAAACGTGTATTAATATAGTTATTTAGCATATTTATAACTCTCAATATGTTTGTATAGAATGTCGTTTTGATAACAAGTAATATAAACAACTTTTATTATATACCAAAAAATCGACCAATCACAGCGCGTCTTATTGTGGAACTCTCTAGAAGTTTTTTAATTAACTGCGTAATAGTTTATACCAAAAATAATGAAAATAATTTTATGTCCTAAAAGAGTTATAAATATGACATTGAATTAGCATATGGCTTATAGATTAAGAAAGTATAGGAATATTTTTGTATAATTAAACGCATTTCGTAGTTATAGAAAAATTAAAGAATTAAAATGCCCAAATATTATGAAAATTTGGGACATTTCGTTTAATAACTTTTTACAATGTTAATGTTTTTAGTAACCTTTATGATATACTAATAAAGTGTCAGACTACCGATTTAATGATATATAGCATGTTAGTGTAGCAATTAGCTTTGTATAGAAAATATTGCAATTTATGCCATTTGTATAGTGATAAGTTTATGCAATAAAGAGGCAAAACGGAAAATGGCAAGCGGCTCACTGTAAAGTATTGCTCAAGTCTACCTTAGGGGCTCGGGACCCAGTATCCGTAGTAGTGTGAAGAACTACCAGTGACTAGTGAAGTGAAGTGAGTGGTATCCGGTGGTAGCTGAAGTGACTAGTAGCAGTATATAGTGAATAGTGAAAGTGTTAGCTAGCCGAAAAAGGTCGTAACTGACATTCGCAGTTACACATAGTGAAAGTGTTAGCTAGCCGAAAAAGGTCGTAACTGACATTCGCAGTTACACATAGTGAAAGTGTTAGCTAGCCGAAAAAGGTCGTAACTGACATCCGCAGTTACATAGTGAAAGTGTTACCTAGCCTAAAAAGGTCGTAACTGACATTCGCAGTTACATAGTGAAAGTGTTAGCTAGCCTAAAAAGGTCGTAACTGATATTCGCAGTTACATATGGTGAAAGTGGTAACTGATATCCGCAGTTACACAAGTGATAAAATCAGCTAGTTTAGTTGATAATAGCTGCTAGTCAGTAGTGTTAGAAAACCAGCTACTACCAATAGATACTTGATACCACCGTACAGTTTATAGAAATCTTTTGAAATATACAGTGACCAACCAATAGTGAACAACCGTAGTTTAACAACAGTGATCAATAAATAATAGTTATAAAATTTCGCGATTAATCAATAAGTTGAACCGCTGGCCACTACCTTGCTATTTGTATTTGTTAATCGTGCATTTTGATTTTAACTACAGTCCACAATATTTCAGCGGTACCAACAAAGACGGCGGTGAGAGTACCCACCGGAACCTATAGGTGTAGGACGTGAGCGACTCGCGAAGTATCTTCGACAACATTTACTCCGGAGAGTTTCGCCCGTCCGGCACAATATTTATAATATTATCATGCCATTTCTGGTTAGCTTATCCAAATAACTGAAACAAAACTTAACAATTCTTCTTCTAGGACACTAACATTTAAACAAAAAAAACGTTCTTAATATTCAATAGTTATTTATATATTATTAGGGATAAGCATCTACATACAATTTTGGTTAACAAATAGAACTTATGAATAAGAAACAAAAAGTGCTAATAATTAAACTCAATTACACTTTTTGTTTAGTTAGATACCCAAGGAAAGTAAAAATTATACATATTATATATATATATATATATATATATATATATATATATATATATATATATATATATATTATATATTACTTTTATTCTTTTTACTAATAGGTTGGACCCTAACTTAAAAATCTATTAAAAAAATAGTTACTTTAAATCACAATATGAAAAATAAACCAAAATATTCTTAATTCTTAATAGAGGTAGTATTTAGGAGCATAAATTTTGGTTTTGAACTTTTATATAATTATAAAAAACAATAAATAATTAGAATAAGCTCTAATAGAGTGGCTTATGCTCTATTAGAGCTTATTCTAATTATTTATTGTTCATTTACAGGAAATAGCTTACACCCGTAATTATTAAAGGCACTCGTAATATTTTTAAAAATACTATTATTATTATTATAAAAATTAAATGTAACATTAACAAACATATCATGGCACTTGGTTGAATTATCACAATGCAAATTATTGGTAATAACTATAAAAAAGTATAAAGAAAATTAAATAATCAGTTTTGCTTAAAATATTAATTTAAAAAATAGTATTTTATTTCAGTCTTCATAAATTTCTGTGAGATCAGCTGAACTGTCGTTAAAGGGTAGGGTTTCCCAAAAACCTCTTCTGTTGTCAGGCATGAGTAGCCCAAGCTTGAAAAGTATAGCTGATTTCCTCTCAGATGTTATCCCTCGTGGAGAAAGCTTCTGCTTAGGCAATGAAATGCCAATTTCAAAATTTTTAATTCTCAAGAAATCCAATTCTATTTGCTCTTCAGTGTCATGGCTGTTCTTGTAGAACATCGAATTGCTCCCACGCCGAAAAGTAATTTCAGACATGTTTCTTAAATAAGCTCGCGGCACAGAATGTTGTAATTTGTACGACGAAGAGCAGTCTTCAAAATCGTGAAAATCCTAGACTGTCATTTTTTCACCACAGTATTTGAACCAGTATCAGCGACAGCTTTGCAAAAATCTTCAAAGTCATACACTCGCTTGTTCTTCTTAAGTGATTGCTCCACTCTATGGTGAAATTCATCGGCAGCTATAAAAGTATGACCAACTTCCAGATAACGCAGCACAACACTTTCAATATTTGCACCCTTGGAATTGACTAAATACACTAAGTAGGAAAAAAGGCACCAATTTTTGATTTCGGCCGCGCAGTTATCCAGCCACAAAATCACATTTTTGCAGTCCCGGTTTTCAAAGAAAATTGCTTGAAAGCAGCTAATTATGTCTTTCTTTTTTCTCTCTGCAATAGCTTCGTGCCATAAGACTCCCAGTGTTTTGCCAACTCCATGTAACCTTTTGTCACCGACAGGAACAAAACTCTGAAAATGATAAGCCTTGGACAAAACATTACCGTTTTAAATTCTTCCATGCGAGGTAACATAATTACCTTTTCTAAATCAACTGCAAATATTATGGTGTCAGTACTTTTTTGCTTCGTTTGGCTTTCAATATCCTCTTCATATTTTTTTCTCGCTGAAATGTACCTAGTGTGATGATCTTCATATTCTTGGCATTCTTCGCAATTCCTGTGCCTTATTGCTGTGTTAGGGTTATGAATAGAAAATTTTTCGCACAATTCACATTCCTCGTGTCCAAGCTTTGTAAAGGATATTTTAAGCTCATTTACGACATTCCTATAAAATTCATAGGACACATTTATTTCAGGCTCTTTCTCACAGTAATTTTCGTACATCATGCAGATATTGATATCCGAGGGTAAATATTTCCGGTTTGGTGCATGAACTCTCCTATAATGGGACACAACTGGACGAAAAGATATAATATGTTCTTTTACCTTTGTACTGTCTATTTGTGATGGATTCGGACTATAACCTCGGCCGTCAGCAATAGGCTCTGCGTATTGTGTTTTATAGTATGTGTCATTAATGTTCCTCACAGCCTTACAGTTACTTTTCTTGTAACCCAAAGTTGTGAGAAAAAACATTTTACATACCGTAACTTTCTCACTGTTTTCATCACATAAGAAATACGAAACAGACTTATTTAGATCACAGTGTTTATCATGCTCATCATCATGACTTTTTTCTTTGGTCTTGCAGGCTTTTGCTGGATAGTATTAGCTAAAAAAGTGTTTCGACAAAACATTTTCCAAAAATTACGATTAATAATTTTGCGGTAATCCTCTGAGAATTTCGTTGAAAATTTTTTTTACAAATGTTCTCTTGGCATTCGGGTTTCACAAAATATTTGGTATATATTTTTTCTTCTCTTTTAATTTTCTTTCGTTCTTTAAGACTAACATCATATCTTTTGCGCTTTCTTACTGTCCCTTTTTTTGTAAGTTCATCTTTTGTAGATTCATCTGAAGATTCTGGAATCGTTTTTTCCAAACACGGTTGAGAACATGGAATGACGTCTGATTCGGAGCCAAAATCATCTAATAAAATATTGGCTTCACGTCGTTCATAGTTTTAATTATGACCCCTCATATTTAAGTTTTTAATCACTGATTGTTTTGAGCATTGAGCGGCAATAATGTACGTTTTGTGGTTTTTTGGTGGCTCATAATCTTTATCTGCTACTGAATCGGCTGAATCAAAATCTGAATCTGATACTAGAATTTGTGGCGACCAGTTTTGTAGACCACTAGTGGATGTAATCTGTTCGTCAATATCCGATCTAAGCTTTAGATTTTGTAAAGCGACGCTTACTAATCTTTTATCACGTGATTGCATTTTTAAAATTATCTGAAATAATGGAAAAACAAGTGAAATTAATGATAATATATGTTTATTGCCGTGTAGTGGCGGTTGAGAATATCCATTACCCATATCTTCCCGTGGGTGTCGTAAAAGGCGACAGAAGGAGACAGGCAGGAGGTGGGCAGCAGCATCTTCCTGATAACAACAGTGATATAATAAAAAACTGCGGTTGCCAACCCGCTCGCCAAGCGTGGCAACTATGGCAAATATCCCTCCATGAATAACGACGCAAACAGATGGCCCCCAGTCCCCGGCGGCCCCGCTATTCCTGGCTACGGTGGCGACCATAGTAACGGCGTGGCAGGGGGTGCTAAGAATCTCCGGTGGAGGTTCGGTTGCCACCTACGACTACACGACCTGGCAACATATAACGCACGCACCCTAAGGACTGACGAGAAGATACTGGAGCTAGAAGAAGAGGTAGACAAGTTACGCTGGCATATTATTGGATTATCCGAAGTCCGAAGAGTGGGGGAGGACACGGCAATCCTCGAGTCCGGCAACTTGTTCTATCACCGGGAGGGCGACCATCTGTCCCAAGGAGGTGTCGGATTTATCGCCCACAAGTCTCTCGTCAACAACTTTGTGAAGATTGGGAGTGTGTCGACGAGGGTCGTGTACCTGATACTCAGAATCACCAAACGGTATACGCTGAAGGTCATACAGGTTTACGCACCAACCTCGGCACATCCCGATGAGGAGGTGGAGGAAATGTATGAGGATATTTCCAGAGTCATGCATTCCTCCAAAACCCACTACACGGTGTCGATGGGAGACTTCAACGCAAAACTAGGCACAAGAGAAAGCGGTGTGCTGAAGGTAGGAAAATTTGGAGTAGGGCAACGGAACCGAAGGGGTCAGCAGCTGGCCGACTTTATATAGAAAGACGGACTCTTTATGATGAACTCTTTCTTCCAGAAGTGGCCCCACAGGACGTGGACCTGGTAGAGCCCCGACGGTTCGACAAAAAAATGAGATTGACTTCATTATGACGACCAGACGCCAACAGTTCAGTGATGTCTCAGTGATCGCAATGGTGAAAACTGGCAGCGATCACCGAATGGTTAGAGGCACACTGAACCTAAACGTTAAGTTGGAGAGGTCTCATCTAATGAAGTCAACGCTCCGTCCCCCTCGTGCTCTAATCCAGAATCCCGAAACCTTTCAGCTCGAGTTACGTAACCGCTTTCTGTGCCTAGAAGATTGCAATGCAGTGGAAGATATGAATGACAAGCTCGTGGAAACTGTCCATGCGGTCGGAGCTAAGTTCTGCAAGACCCGCCGCAGATGAACACAAAAACTCTCCGATCACACTCTCCATGGCTGTTAGACGAGAGGAGGCTGCAATCGTCAACAGATTTGACAGCATACAGGCAACTGAACAGACAGATCTCCAAATGCATGCGGCGAGACTTACGCAACTTTAATACTGCTCGTATTAAAGAAGCGATCGAGCGGAACCAGGGCTCCAAAGTCTTTGCCAGAGATCTGTCTACCAGAAAGAGCCAACTGTCAAAGCTGAAGACTGAGTCTTGCAACATCGTTTCCGGGACATATGAGATTCTGAGTGAGATTGAGAGGTTCTATGGGCAGCTGTACACATCATCGTTGGAGCCACACGTAAGTGTGAGTAACGATCCAAGAGCAAGTCTTATCCGACACTAATCCGATGATATCCCGGACGTCAGTCTGAGCGAGATTAAAACGGCTCTCCACCACCTTAAAAACGGCAAGATAGCCGTAGACCATATAATTTATCAATTTTTAGTTTTTTTTTTTAAATATCCAAATCTTTTGGATAGAATTTATCACTACGTCACTTTATGTGGCATCACTGATAAATACAATGATGGTAAGTTGTATTGGTAAATTCGGTGTAAAATTCTTCAAGTCAACACAGAGATAACATAAACATACATAAACATCAACTAACTTAACTTTGAGGGGTAGGCAAAGATTACGGATTTCAATTTAGTACGGTCACTATATGACGTGGTAGAGCGAGAGCGAAATATGAACAGTAGGGCTATTTTATTGGCGTAAATGGCCAAAACGACCAGTCAACTAGTAATTATAAAAATGTATTATAATATTTTAGTTCTTTCTACATGGTAGAGCCACGCTACAGTCCTAGTATTGCTGTAGCCCGTGTGTGTCGGTTCGACCATGGAAGGACTACACTCTCAGAATACCAGCATAAAATAGCAGGTTAGTGCCGCTGTGTTTCGTATAGTGAGTGTAGAGAACCGGAGACCATTTTAACTAGAAACGAGACATTCCATCTTAGTTCTCAGGGCTGACAACGCTCTTTGCATTTTGATTCTTAACTGCGGATAAATTTTAAAGTCTATGGGCCACAGCATCCACTTACTATAAGGTGGACTGTGTGCTCGTTTGTTAAACTTATTCTATAAAAAAACCTCTCTCACTTCTTTCATCCATATCATCTATACAAAATGATCGTTGTTTAAGTGTACTCTTAATTTGGTCCATCATCAATATATCGCCAATTTGATCGATAAACTTACGTCTAGGTCGTGCCGTGCCATCTCTACTACTCATTTCTGCAATAAATATTCCTTATCACTCTTTCCTCATTCATTTTTTCTAATGAATGAGGAAATAGTCATAAGATCAATATCAGATCCTAATCAAGTCACAGACAAGATCAAGATCCAACTACCGTAGCATTTCTTTCTATAGATTAGACAGAAAGCAACATGAATAATTTTTGTATCACATACGTATTATATTTTATGACACACGTTTATTTAACTGGGATTAATATCTTCCGGTTTACGTTGTATTATAAGAATTCATTGACATAAACGATTTAGCTATTGATCATCTCGAGTCAGTCATGCTACCCCTACGACTTGCTTACGTTTAGTTAACTCAGCATTAATATACAATGCAATGTCTACTATACATTTATTTATACTAGGAATAAGCACAAGTTAGTTATACCAGTTACTCGACTCCAAAGAGTCAGTAAGTCCTTCATATGTACGTATCATAATTTATGTAAACAAAAAATATATCACTTATAAAATAAACAAACGACTTTTTAATGAGATTAATATGATAGTTTATTATTAAATTTTGTAAAGATTAAAGTAATGCAGTTTTACCTATATCAGGGATCAGAAGTCCCACTCCCTATATCTTACCAAGGTATAAATATTGAGAAAGTTCGCACATTTTCGCTCCTCGGGATAACAACAGATTCAACTTGTTCAATGAAAAATCATGTAGAAAGAGAAGTGAATAAGTTGAGCAGTTTTTGCTACGCTCTGCGTGAGCTACGTAAGGATACAAATGAGCAGAGCGGCATTATTCGGCATCATATTCTGGGAATACGCTACCGAGGTACATGCGGTATCCATGCTCCAAAAACGTAGCCTTAGAGTCATCACATTTGCAGCTCCAAGAGATTCATGTCGAAGGTGGTTATATTTGGGATAACTTATTAACTGTAACGTGCATGTACATTTTTGCATTATGCCGCTTTGTTAGGAAAAAGCCTCATTATTTCCAACGAATTGGAGATAGACCCAGTCGATACGGCGCACACCGAGGTTATGATCTGGTTGCTCCTGCCACACATCTCAAATTATTTAAAAATGGTGCCTACTATACGGGTTCACAACCATTTACCAAATATACCTCCAATGTCGTAAATTAAAAAAGTACTAAAGAAAATGCTTATTTTAAAAACGTATTATAATTTGAATGAGTATTTTAATGATAAATTATAAACCAATATTAATTATTTCACGTTTTTCTTTATTTCTATTTACTTATTTGGCATTGTTAATATTTTTATCAAAATGTTTAAGCCGTATTTACATAATATAAATGACGAATGATCAACAGTTTACATATAATATTTATTGAATTTTAAATTTTTAAAGTAAATATGTGTGTATTATTTATTTTGACATTTAATAATAAATATGTATCATAAATACTG